CTGAATAAGTCTTTCCTTCAAAATCAGCCATAAAACATAGTGCACTCAGTGAAACTCTGATGACTAATAATTCGTTGATATTGTCAGAACTAGGAAAAACGTCCATGTTTTGTAAATAAAACTATAATATGTACTGGCTATGTTGTAATTGCTGTGTGTGATCTCTCATTAGAAAAACGTATTTGCGTGTCATTGGTAATAAATTGCAACTTTGAAATCCCTTGTAGCCGTAGACACCCATCATAATCCCCCAGTAGTGCTTAATTAAAATTTAATAAAAAATTGAAAATCCCAAGAGGCCTGAAGGTAAAATTGCGGTATGTAACTATCGTATTGTTGGTGGTCTATTAGTCTATTCCAGGGTATCATTCCTCGATATACTCTATACAGTACTTGTACTTTTTACTTGTACTTAAGTATTTTTGAAAAATACTTTGTACTTTTTACTCAAGTACGTATTCTCTCCAGTACTTTTTACATTTACTCAAGTCGTTTTAATGCGAATTACTTCTACTTTTACTCAAGTATAAAATCAAAGTAATTTAGGCACCACTGGTCATGACACAGTGGCTTTGAGGGAGGCCCAGGAAATATGGGGCAATTTGCCTTTATATTTCTTTACATGTATGTCAAATATAAAAGTAACTTTCATAACAAAATAGTAACTTTCATCACTTAAAGATAAACATTTATTTTTTCATCTTGATATTTACAAGCAAAAAAAGTAAAACAAAAGGTTGGCTTATTTCAAAGAGAAGTGATTGAAAATATGCAACATGATCTTGCCCAAAGCTGTGTCTAAAAAAATAAAAAATTGTGATTCAGAGGCGACAGCTACTGTACCTTGAAATACCGTCAATTGCAATTAAGGATGAACAACGTTGATAAAAAACATTGTCTATTCTCACATGAAACTTCAATGTTTGTCAAGAGTACTTGATAGATTTAATCTGGTCAGCCAATCACCTTTAACTTCCCTCATGTTGATTGGCCAAGCTAATTGAAACCTTCAAATTCTTTTTACAAACATCAGCACCATTCATCCTTATAGTTGCAATCAATTGGATCGACAGTAGAATCTCAACATAGATATTGAAGTCAAAGTCAACATCAGTCACATCACAACATCAATCACATCATAAAATGAGTTACATCATATCAGTCACATGACAACATCAGTCACATCACAGCATCAGTCACATCATAACATTCAAAAAGGGGTTTATATGAGGGCGAGCCAAGATCTTACAGTGTGTCTACTATAAGTGGGACCACTTTGACAAAGCAAGCCAATAAAGTGCAAGAACAAAGTCTTGCAGTTCTGACACATATATGGGCTTGTTATGTCCTGCTTCTGTAATTTAATTGGCTAATCATGCTTTTTCGTTCGGGGTGATTTATACTTAGTGGCCTTATTCATGTTGCCACGCATAACGTTGAATCAATGTTATTGTTTGTACCCACCCACCCACCTCAGATAATGCCGAGCGTGGCATAGTCATATTCTGACTGTGAAAAATGTCACAAATAATAAATAAATAATCAATCAATTTACCTTAAAGATGTATTAAAACCCTGAAATCAAAATAAAACATGCACAAATTTGTTGGCACCAAAACAACGCCGTATACAACCATGTTAACTGCATGAGATCGTGACATTGTCGACATTCAGTAAGCAGACCTGCCAAGTTCGGAAGATAAGAATGCGTGACCAGGACCGTTGCAAGGACTTTGCCTTGGGGGG